TTTGATGTCTCTGCTTGAAAATGGGAATGATTGGACCAGATGGCCTACAGAGGTCCCCTTCCAACATCATCCACTCTGTGATTCTGTGAAATAAAATGAAGATATCTCTTATTATTCTTCCTTGTTTTCTGGCTTAAGATCACTGTCTTAATAGATTAATTATATTGTTATATTATTTCTCATGATTGACATATTTGAGGCCTGATGTAGAAAAGAAGGTGAGATACACTTTCCTAGTTCAGAACAACAAGAAATGTACAATGCAACAGAATCAATTTTGCAATAATGTGTTAGATATTGGTCTGGTTGTAGGCTAACTTCTTTAGGTACCCAAATCAGCAGAAGCTTACTCACAAATTGGCTTCAAAGAATGTAATTCACAGAATCACAGAATGGCTGAGGCTAGCAGGAACCTGTGGAAGCCATCTGAACACCCAGAGCAGATTGCCTGGGATGGTGTTCAGATGGCTTTTGAACATCTCCAAGGAAGAAGATGTCATAGTTTCTCTGAGGAAGAGAGAGAGAGAAAAGAAAGATCTTTAATTTCCTTCACTGTTCTCAAGATAAGAATCTTTCAAACAAAAGTTGGGTGGGGGACATAGGAGAAGGAGCAAAATGAATGTTAGACACAGAACACCTAGGAATTAAAAAAAAATACCTTTGATAAATACAGTGTTCAGAAGCTATCAGCACTCACTCAGCAGAGCAGAGCTGTGAGCCTGGAGCTCTCATCTGGGAGATGGAAAGGAATCCATATAGCTGTTGAAATTATGGCCAAAGTTCCAGCTTACTGTGGTCATCAGTGTTTGTTCCAGTTTGTCATCATGGAAGGCGACAAACCAACTTTCTGAAGCATAGCAAGACAGTTGCCCCAACACTGGTTTGTCATTGCTCCACTGCTGCCTACACCTTTGGGTGTCACCTGCCTGGAACTACGGCCAATGTTTACTGATCAATTGAAGAAGATAACTCTTGACCCAGGTTGAGGTCAACAGAACTCCACAGACGATGAGCATGTCTTTGAAAAACTGTAGACCTGTCAGTAATTTGCAGTCTCTTCTGTCTGCATAAAAATGGGTATTGGGATTGGGAAAATCTTATTAGTTCCAGATTTTAAAAATGGGACTTGGAAGAAGGAAGAAAACATTTATTTGAAACAAACAAACAGCCCAAAATTGTGGTGGAGCTACAAAATACCTTTAAAATCTTTCTATCTTCAAGATACATTTATTTACCTCTCCTGACACTTTGATATCTTTAAAACTGAATGTGGATGGCAAAGACACACTTCTTTGCTGCAGAAAGGCACCTCTGTGTGTTTGAGTGATTTGCACACACACAGTCACACAAAGGAAATTTGTGTGGGCAGATAAATGAGATGGCATAAGAATGTACTGCTTCTGTACTGTTCCACAGAGGCTCTTAAGATGTCTCATGCTCTCTCTGATGCCACGGGAAACATATTGTGTCCAATCCTTCAGTTGCACTGCATTTTCATGCTTCCAGGAAATTATATACGTTCCTTGTGTGGGGACCTGAGATGAACAGAGACTCTTGTCCTGCACTGTGTGATGAACATTTGACACTCTTGTCCAGTGTAATGTGATGGGCATTTGTTCCTGTCACATATATAAATCTTGCTTTCAGGTCATCCCATTGCCTCAGCAGCTATGGAGAATGTGGTGGTTCTGATATATCTCATCATGGGAGAGGTTGGGGAAGAGACAAAAACATTTATCAGTTGTTAAGGTAAATTATTAAGAACCTAGGCATGGGAAATCTGAACACATCTGGCCAGTCAGAGAACATCTGCAGGGGGATTTATTCTTTTAAGTAATTACACTTGTCTTTTTCTTCAGGTGTGCTCAATTTGGTGTCTGAAGCAGAGGCTGAAGCTTGCTGTTCAGAGATGTGTGCCTTTGGTTATCTGCTGGGCTAGTCTCTTAACTGACACAACTCCACTAAGGCTCACTGATTTGCAAGCACTTGGCCTCCTTCTTCTGGTTTTTCTCAGTCCCTTTCTGCTTCTCTTGCAGTCTGATCTGCTCCCACTAATCTGGAGGGTGTAACTTGGCAAACCTCAGCTGCACTCCTTCCATGAGGTTCTGGCCCTGAATTGCTCTGTATTCAACTGACCTTTTCAAACAGGTCTTTGGGGGCTTTGCTTTGTCCTAGCATGTTCCACACAGCCTATTTTTTTTCTGCATAAAGTGCATATTACTTTCTGCTTGTGATTCCCAGAACAACTTCTGCGTTTTGTCCCACCTTAGATGGAACTGGATCAGATGGAGCTTTGCTTAGCACCAGTCTTCTTCCTCCACTGTCACACTGCTCTCCCTTCTCCCACTGCAGCCATGGTGAGGTGTACAGATACTTTGGAACCTGGTGTTAAAGGAGTATTCAATCAAATGGAAAAAAGTTACAGAGCAGAACAGGCGTATGTGAACATACACTCTTTGATGAGTATGAGGAATATGCTATGTGTTATTTATGCTCTTTTTGAATGTTTTACCTGTTCCTCTTGTAATTATCTGCTTTCCCTAGCAGATCTAGCCTATTGGATTGAACGGTTTGTCTAGGAGTGGTGGGGAGAGGAAGGAAGACAATTTTTCTGACAATCTGTTATTAAAAAAAGTGACCAATCCTAGGGATTTTTCTATTTAACAAATTAAGAAATATATCAAAGAAAAAATTCAGTCTCGCTACGACAGAATCAGAATTCTACAGTGTCTAGAAGGAAATGGTGGAGGGAAGTCTGTGACGTTTTGGTTATTTAACATAGTTTCAAATGAGCATTTTTCATTTAAAAGCAGCCTAGCTGAAACTAGAAACTTTAAATTAAAGATTAATTAAATTAACTCTTAAAAATGTGCAAGTGTCACTGTTTGTTTGTTTTCCAAAATAAAGAATTTTATTCTGGAAAGTGCTGGGGAAGTTGGAGGAGAATTCATCTTAGCAGGAAGAAAATGTTTTGGGCTAAGGAAGCACCCACTAAAAGCAAACTGAATTTGCAAGTGGTTTCAGGGTCACTGAAATCATAGCACCTGGCAACTCTGTTGCATCAAGGATTCACTAAGAAATGTGTCAGTATTTCAGTCTGACAAACACTTACAAATCATTTCTTCACATGCAGTTTGCCTTTGTCCTCAGTGCTGTTATGCTGATGCAAACTGAGCTCCCCGTGCATGGACCCAAGGAGCGCAGATAAGAACTCTCTAAGGATATCTTCCTTTCTTCTGTAGCTTTCCAGGGCTTGAGTAACAAAAAAAAGTTCCTGTATTTTAAGACTATTCACTGATGTTTTGGAGGGAGGAGAAAGAGAAAGACCTATTCCTGACTTCTGAGCATGTGGAGCAAAGATTGCATCAGAGAGCCAATTTGTTCTTTAATCAAAAGCAGCATTCCGTTAAAAATATGCACAAACACATTATCTGGAGAATCATGCAGGCTCCTTAACACAGCTGAGAAGCCTACATGTCACTGCTTTCATTTCTTTCCCAGCTCATGGAGGCTTGACTCGTGTAGAAGTGGGTTGAGCCTTTTCCATGCCAGTGTTGTGCTCTAAGCAGGCAGGGAAGATGTGGCACAGTGCACATGGAGAAGTGTGGGGCTGGTAACTGGGCATGAGGTGAAAGGACTAGGCTGCCTTCTTCTGGAGCTGGAGTCACCACCCTGGTATGGAGACAAGGCCTCATGACTGATTAGCCACCTTCTCGGAAGAAAGCAGCTTCCAGGTCTGGTTTGACTTTTCTTCCATGGGCTCACTTTCTAGTTTGGAGAATGTAAGTACAGCCTGTGAAAGTGTAATATCCTCTGTGGCTGTACCACAGCCAGGACTGCTTCCTGAGAGTCAATAAGAAGGGATTGTTTCCAAGAGTGTCAAACTGTCTCCCCCTCTTATATTCAGTGATAAATCTCCATGATCTTACCCAGAGCCATTTTAGGGTTAAAAACTCACATGCACCTTCCTCCCTCCTCTCCCATTAAGTAACTTAATTTTTACAATTTATGCCTTTGTAGCCACAGACACCTAAACATGTCCTTAGTCAGCCTTGCTCTGCAGAGGGGTTGCAACATGCTTGCAGCAGGTCTTTTTGGTTATAGAGCAGTGGGAACTTACACTATCCAAAGCTAGTTTCCTTGGCTTTGGATAAACTTGAGATGAAACTCAGATGAAGCCACTCCTTTCTTCTGCACATTTGCTGCTCATGCTGCATCAAACCTGATTATCATCATTATCTCAGTTCTGTCACGCTCTATAAATATATGTATAAATAAACCAAACAGAATGGCAGCTTCTATCAAGGGGAAAGTACAAGGAAGGATTTCATTAGTGTTCTGTAGAAAATGCTTTGCAGAAACCAGGAGCAAACTAATACTTAAAGAGTCTTGGCCCTGCTACACAGTGATGTAGAGCCATTACATGGGAACAGCACCTCCTAGTAACAATGGGCTCAAGGCAGGAGGAGGGATATCTCACCTCTTCACAGTAAGAAGTATTAGAAGGATTCCTGAATCTGTGAAGACAGGATAAGACTGAACAAACTCTCCACAAGAAAGATTGGGCAAGTGGTATCTAGCAGGGGCTAGAAACCTCCAGGAGTCCAGACTTTCATAGTCTTGCTCTTGCCTTAGGATATTAACTCTATAGAAGCTGCACACAAAAGAGCGTGGATGAGAAAACACAAAGTGTTACTGAAACAAGCTGCAGGCAAAGGGATTACTGTGTGTATGTAACAGGAAACCCAAGAGAGAGATTTTAACTTACACCTTCCAGCTCCATACTGTGGCTTGGATCCAATACCTATAAAAGTCAGTGGAAAGGCTCTCTTGACTTCATGAGAACTGGATCAGATCCCATGTGAGTTACACCTACTTAGGCTCCCTGCCATAGGTGGAGGTAGTCCTGAAGAGAGCGTGAGTGAAGGGAGTTTAATTTATGTGACCTTACAGTTCACTCTCCATCTAACAGTTGTTCTTCTACTAAAGAGGAAACATCTCCAGCATACAAAAGAGGAAGGATAGCACAGCCCAGTCCAGGCAGGTATTTCTTCATGTCATTTGTAAGGTAAGTCACTTCTAAACTTCAAGCCTTTTTAGACACTTTGAATAATTTATCTAAAACTTTTGCAGACAATTTTCCCGTAGGTATCTGTGATCCTGAAGGCTTCTTTGCCCTTGTTTATGCAGTCAGCACACTGGCTTCTCTAACTTTCTTCAAAAGAAAACAGATCCAGATTTTCTGAAAGTCAGGAGCAAAGGATTTCTACTCCAGCAGCCAAAGCAATGCAGGCAGCCAAAATAAGAGATCACAGAAGGAGATGGTCTAAACATGCCAGCTGCAAAGTGTGGAGATTCTAATGCTTAATGCCTCTTTTAAATTAGATAATGAATTACCTAATACTGAGTGAAACGGGAGAGTGGAATTAAAAACAAAACATAACAAAGAACAAAACAATTAAAAACCTGTCGGTTGCCTCTAGCATGACTTAACTTTGGTTCTGCTCCCTTGGTTATTCACTGAGAGGCTTACTGATACCTCATGGAAAACATTACCACTCTTCCCATGTTGAAACATTTAGAGGAAATACGTTATATCATGTTCTTTTGTGATGTTTGCTCTTTCCCTGACTTCTCTAAATGGACAGATTTGCCTGAGAGTCAGAAACTGGATTTCTAGTTGCTGTAAACAGGACTAGCTCTATAGTGACTTTATCAACTGACTTAGCTGAGGATTAAATCTCATACCATACCTGTTACTTTCCCTTGCATGTTAGTGCTTGTAAAACATCATTGACAAACGCACTTCAAATCAATGACCTTGTTTCCAGGTTGATGACACCTATTTCTTCACTGATATCTTCTTGCATGATGCCTTGAAGAAGATGTCCTGCCAGCACCTCCGTGTACACAGCAGTGTGCAGTATCTGCAAGGAGCCTGTGTCTCTATATTACCTCAGTCTTTTGTCTCTCCACTGAAAGAAGTGTTATATACATTTTGTAATAATAATCTGCCTAGAGTACAAGCTTCAGACCTGACTGGAGGTCCCCCAACATCTATTTTCTCCCTCTGCTTTGGGATGCCCTCTGTCTTATGGTGTCTTATAATAACATTCCAGAAGTCTTATAAACACCCCAAACCAACTCCATATGCCTTTACATCAAAACCCATGTAATGCACACCTGTGTAATTTGCTTGAGAAACACAAATGATGACCATAAAGTGTCTTACATTCTTTTAGAATGAACAGAAGAGCAATTGCACAAGTTATATAAAGTGATGGCAAAAGCATCTGGGGCCCAGTGAAGCCAGGTACTATGTTGTCTGAGAGTAATCATATTTACTGTAGAGGGAGAAAGCCCTAAGGTGTGTAAATGTGGCTTCATCTGCAGTACTTGTGCAGTCTAGAGACAAGAATGTGATGTAGGACAATAACAAAGGCTTTGCAGAAGTCCATGTAGATAACATCAATTGCTCTTCCTTTGTCCATTACTGTTGTTACTCCAGACTGACCAGACATTATGTACCCACGGTGAAGCCATGCTGTCTGCCTCAGATCACAGAATCATAGAATCACAGAATAGTTTGGGTTGGAAGGGACCTTTAAGATCATGTAATTCTGACACCTCCATCTAGGCCAGCTCAAAGCCCAGTCCAGCCTGGCCTTGAATGCCTGGGAGCTTCCACAGCCTTTCTAGACAATCTGTTCAATCATCTCTCTACCCTCGCAATAAAGAATTTCTTCCTAATATCTTGTCTAAATCTACCCTCTTCCAGTTTAAAGCCATTTACCTTCATCCTGTAATTACATACTCTTATTAAAAGCCCCTTCCAAGCTTTCCTGTAGGCCCCCTTCAGGTCATGGAAGGCTGTATAAGATTCCACCAGAGCCTTTTCTTCTCCAGGCTGAAGAGCTGCAGTTCTCTCAGCTTGTCCTTGTACAGGAGGTGCTCCAGCCCACTGATCACCTCTGTGGCCCTCTTCTGACCCATTCCTACAATTCAATGTTCTTCTTGTATTGGAGGCTCCATAACTGGATGTAGTACTCCAGGTAGGGTCTCACAAGAGCAGAGGGGCAGAATCATTTCCCTCGACCTTCTGATCACTCTCCTCTTGAAGCAAACCAGGGTATGGTTGGCCTTCTGGGCTGCAAATGTACAGTACTTGTTCATGTTGAGTCTTTCATCAACTGACACTCTCAAATCCTCCTCAGGGCTGCTCCAAGTTATTCTCCACCCACTCTGTATCTTTGCTTGGGATTGCCCCAACCAAGGTGCAGGACCTTGTACTTGGCCTTGTTGAACTTCATGAGGTTGGCATAATCATAAAAGGCCATCAAGTTTGTAAGGCATGACTTGCCCTTGGTGAAACCATGTTGGTTACCACCAATCGCACCATCTTTATTTTCCATGTGCCTTAGTAAGGCCTTCAGGAGGATCTGCTCCATGATCTTGCCAGGCACAGAGGTGAGACTGACTGAACTGTAGCTCCTAGATCTTTTTTCCCTTCTTGAAAATGGGGTTATGTTTCCCCTCTTCCAGACAGTGGGAACTTCATCAAACTGCTATGACCTTTCAAATATGATGGATAGTGACTTGGCAAATTAATCCATCAGTTCCCTCAGAATCTATGGATGGATCTCGTTCGGTCCCATGGACTTGGGCACCTTCATGTTGTTTAGGTCATCTCAAACCTGATCTTCACTTACAGTAAGCAGATTTTGCTTCTCCCAGTTCTTACCTTTGCTTTCTGCAACTTGGATGATGCAGCTTGGATGCCCTTGCCAGTGAAGACTAAGGCAAAGAAGTCACTGAGTACCTCAGTTGTCTCTGTATCTCTCATGACCAGATCTCCATTTTCCATCTGGAGAGAAGCTTCCCTGGCCTTCCTTTTATCACTGATGCACCAATATAATTTTTTTTCTTGTTCCCCTTTATGGCCCTGAATAGATTTGATTCTATCTGGGTTTCAGCTTTCCTAATCTGATCCCTGGCTGCTCAGACAACTTCTTTGTAGCCCTTCCAGGTAATCCATTCCCGCTTCCACACTCTGTAGGTTTCTTTCTGCACCTAAGCAAGTCCAGGAGAAACTTCTTGATCCACAGAGGCCTTCTGAAATTCTTGCTGACCTTCCTTCTTCTTGGGATGCACAGCTTCTGGGCTCGGAGGAGATGGTCCTTGAATAACTCCTTGTCTTGAATGTGCCTTGATGTAACTCTCAGAAGGATCTGCTCCTTGTTCCTCCCAGACACAGATGTGAGGCTCACAGGTCTGTAGTACCCTGCGTCTTCCTATCTTCCTTTCTTATAAACGGGAGTGATGTTTTCCTTTTTCTAATCACCAAAGATTTTACTTGAAAGCATGACTTTTCAAATACTACGGAAAGCAGCTTGGCAACTACACCATGCAGTTTCTTCAGGATTCTGTGATGTGTGTCATTGAGTGCCATAGACCTGTACACATTCAGTCTCATCAAGTGGTCTCTGATTTGCTCTGCACTTACACTGGGAGAGATTTTCCTCTCCCAGCTCCCCTGTAAATATTCAGAAACATGAGAGGCATGGGAATCCTGACTGACAGTAATGACTGAGGCAAAGAATTTATTGAATACCTCACCTTCTTTATATCTGTTGAAGCCAGTTCTCCCTTCTCATTTATCAGAGGGGATACAATCTCCTTTGACTATCTCTTTTGACCAATGTACCTGCAGAATCTCTTCTTGATTTGTTTTTCATATCAATTGCCATGTTCATTTCCATTTGTTCCTTGGCTTTTCTGATCCCATCTCTGCATGTCTGGTCAGCATCCCTTTACTCCTCCCAGGACACTCATTCCTTCTTCCACTGTACTTTTCCTTCTTTTCCCTCACTTCGACCAGCTAGTCCTTGATTTTCTGCCTCCTTTGCTTGATTTCTTAAGGAGGAGAAAGGAGAGCTGTTGTACTATCAGAAAGGTGTCCTTAAAATCTACCAGTTCTGTCCTTTTTCTGTGCCCCTAAAGACAGTTTTACTGGGGGATTGCATCCAATAATTCCTGAAACAGATTGAGGTTTTCTCTCATGAACTTCAGGGCCCTGTCTCTGCTCTTTGCAAGGCCCGTATTTCTTGAGATCATAAGCTCAACCAGAATATGGTTGCTACAGCCCAGGCCTCTTTAATGATCTCCTCTGCACTGGTAAGCACCAGGTCCAGTAATGTTTCATCTCTGGTTGGTCTGTCAGATATTCGGACTGGAAAGATGCCAAGAGTTTCCTGGATTGTTTTCATCTGACTGTGTTGCTTTCCCAGCAACCACCCATTTGGTTGGTATCTCCCATCAGGTTGAGACCTTCTTAGTGAGATGTTTCTTGTAGCTGAAACAAGAAGATACTGTCAGCAGAGTCCCTCTGGCCAGGTGTCCTGTAGTAGATTGTGACCACCAGATGTCCCTTATTTGTCTGTCCCATAGTTTCAAACCACAAGCTCTCAGCCTGGTCATGGTCGTTTCTCAGAGGTAGCTCTTCACAGTCTATCCACTTCTTAACATAGAGGACAACTCATCCACTCCTCTTGCCTTGTCTATGTTTTCTAAAAAGCTTACAGACCTCAGTGGTGGTATTCCAGTTAAGTGAATCATTCCAATTTCTGTGATAGTAATTAGGTTGTGATTTTCTAACTGCACGATGGCTTCCAGCTCTTTCTGCATATTTCCAATGCTGTGCGCATTGGTGTACAGGCGCTACAGCTGGACTATTGGCCATGTTGTCTTCTTGGAAGAGCCCTCCTGCATTCCTCTGAGACAAATCTGAGGCTTTTCCCTACTGCTTCCTGAAGTGATAGTGTTTCCTAGTCCTTCTCTCTTACTCAGAAAAAAAATTTCCCCCATCAAGTCCAGTTTAAAGTTCTGCTAGTAAGTCCAGCCATCTTGCTACTCAGAACACTCTTGTCCCACCTGGTCTGTTGCATCCCATCTGATGACAACATGTTCAGGTGTGTCTGATACAGAAACAGAAAGCCTAGCACTGCAAAATCCATGAATTCTGAAGGGTTGCAAATGTCTGGTAACACAGAAATACTATAGAGTAAAAAA